GAGAGATGCCCAGTTATTCACACTTGGTTTGGGGTCTTTGAACGAGTCAGATAGGGTTGCCCCATGGGTGGGGCTCCCCACTGAGTGAAAGATAAATCACCTGAAAATTATTTACCCCAGAGGAAGCCCCAAAACGAAAAAAAACCCCAACAACTGTCCTGGATCATGCAGCTATTAAGTGGCAGATCTAGGACTCAGACACCAAAGTCTATGACCTTTTTATCAAGCCATGGTCCTCAGCTGATGTTGGTGCTGGGATACAGAGTTGTAGGACCAGGGACTTATTGGCAGGGAGCTCGTGTGGTAAAGGAAGAGGAAGGGCCATGAGCCCAGAAATCCGGTGGGTGCGCGAGGTCTCCACCATGACCAGCTCAGGGGCCCTGGAGCATAAAGGGAGACACGTATTCAAATGTTTCCTGCTGTGTCTGTACCCACACATCTTCCTCTTCAGTGTGGGTTTGATGAATGTGTGAATGAGGAAGAGACCAGAGTGCCTAGGACAGAAGGAGGTTAGTCAAGGAAGACTTTTCAGATGAGTTCCTATTGGGTGGCCTTGAAGGATGAGTTAGGAGTTTGCCAAGTGAAAAGGAGGGGAAAGGCATTCCAGGCATATGCAAAAGAATAACAGGGTGGAATAAAAAGTCTCTCAACTTGTTTTAAAAATATCAGAACCCACAACACACACACACACACACACACACACACACACACACACACACACACAGTTAAAACTTTATTATATACAATTTATTATATACAATGCCTCTTGCTTTCTGGTCCATTCCCATTTTGTAAATGTTAGTGGCAACCCACCGATTTGCTGTGATGAGGACTTGGGGGTGGGAGCGTTGGGAAAACTGGAGGCTGGAAGGGAGTTTGGCACCAGACTGTGAAGATCTTTGGAAATCAGCGTGATGATCTGGACCCTTTTTAGTTCTTGCCCCCTGCAAGGTTGGACCCTAAAAACTCCTTGCTCCTTCTCTAGCAATTCGAGTAACTGCCTTCATCCCTGGCTAGTTTTCTTCAGTTGGCTCTAGCTCAGCCGTGGGCAAACTACGGCCCGCAGGCCGGATCCGGCCCGTTTGAAATGAATAAAACTAAAAAAAAAAAAAAAGACCGTGCCCTTTTATGTAATGATGTTTACTTTGAATTTATATTAGTTCACACAAACACTCCATCCATGCTTTTGTTCCGGCCCTCCGGTCCAGTTTAAGAACCCACTGTGGCCCTCGAGTCAAAAAGTTTGCCCACCCCTGCTCTAGCTTCTCCTCTTCCCCAGCTGGTTCTTTAACTCATGCTGAGTTCCTGGGGCTCTGCACTGGGCCTCCTTGGCCTCCCACAGCACTCATCCTTGTCTTGGTTTTAAGGACCACTGCTTCTCACTGTGGAGGTCCGCCACCTTTGAAGGCCCTCCCTTTTGAGCTCAAGGCACATACAATCAGCTGCCCTCCCAGTAACCTACAGATACCTCAATCTCTCAACCAGTTCATCACCCTCCGACTGGCTCCTCTCCCATCCCAGCTCCATGCTGCCCTCACCAGTCCTACACACTGTCTCACAGAATAGGATCCTGTCCTTGGAGTCTCCTCATCCTGTCGATTCTGCTCTCAACTCCATCTGCTTCTCTCCATGCCATCTGCCACTACCCTTGTCCAGGCTGGGGCTTTTCTCTCTGGATAACTGTTTTACCACCTGTTCTTGTCTCCTGCCCCTTTCTATTGATGCCCCATAAGAGCTGCCTTGAGCCTCTGAAAAAGAAATCAGATCATGTGACACCCCTGCTTCAAACTTATTAATATTCCCTAAATGTATCCCCAATCCCCTGCTGGGCCCCTTCTCTGAAACCTTCCCCCACTCCCACTGTCCCTAACGCTCTGTTCTCTAGACCCATCAGACCCCCATGGACCCTGCTTCCTTTGGCTTCACAACCTCTACCTAGTTAACACCAACTCATTCCTTCTGGATCCCAGGGTGGGAACATCTCCAGGAAGCCTTCCCTGATTCACTCAGGCTGGATTTGGTGACTTTGTCTCTGTGTTTCCACAGTTCACAGTGCATCCCCCAGCTTTATGCCTAACACCTTCTTTTTTATTGCAGTAGCCCAAGTCTGTCTTTTCCATTGGATGGGCAGCAGAATTGCGGGGTTAAGGGCAGATGTCAAAGCCAAACTCTTTAGGTTAAAATCCCAGTCCCACCATGTTTGGGCAGTGGGAGTTTGGAACTTCATTTAATCCTTCTGTGATTTGCTTTCCCCATACTGTAAAATGAAGTTAACGATGATGATAATAATAATATTAACAAGAAGAACAGCTGTTAGAGGGTTAAATGAGTGCCTGGCACATAGCAAGTGCTGTGTGTTTGGTGATTTAAGTCAGCACTCAGACTAGTTACTCCAGGAGAGTAGACCCTGGATTTATTGGATCCACCGCTATGTCCCCAGCTCCTGCCCCAACATCCTGGTTATGAGTGTGACACAATGAATCTTTGGTCTCAGAAATGGTGATACATATAGATAAGAAAGTAACATTTGAGCAATGCTTCGGAGGCAGACTGCTGAGGGCTCCATGCTGACGGAATCTGTGGGTGAGACAGGAGGAGGAAAAACCTGACAAGACAAACCTGTGACGTAGCCTCTCAAATCTTCGGCTGTTTCAATTCACCAGCCACCTCACCCCAGCACTCATTAGCACCTCAATCCATGAAGGACTCCAGCTAGCATAAGAGTCAAGGTACATTCCTCTCTTCTCTCTCCCTACCCCTACCCTTCTCCACTGAGTCCAGGCCCAGTGTCTTCCCTCCTTTCTGCACCCCACTTCCACCCTAGTTGTTCCAATTAGGATTGCTGTGTCACAAGTAACAGCAACACAGTGGCCAAAACGAGAATTTCATTATCTTCACAAATCATGGGGTTCAGCAATTTGGACAGGACACAGTGGAGATGACCACAGAAGCCAGTCTACAGAGGCTTAGCTGCAGAGACTCACAGGCAGGAGTGACTGAATGGAGGCTCCTTCACCCACTGTCTGGCACCCAGCTGGGTGACTCCAATGCTGAACTCAGCTGAGACTGTGGACTGGAGCACTTACACATGGCTTCTAAATATGCCTGGGCTTCCTCACAGCATGGCCACCTCAGACCTCCGTGGTGGCTCAGGGCTCTAACAGGTATTCCAGCCAAGGCAGAGGCTGCACTGCCTCTCATGACATAGCCTTGCAAGTCTTGCAGCATCACTTTGGGCACACCTTGTTGGTCGAAGCCCTCAGAAATCAGCCCAAATTCAAGCAGGGAGAGCACAGAGAACCCACCTCTCAATGGGAGGCATGTCTAATAATTTTGTGCCATGCTTTAAAACCACCACCTGACCCCCAAACACCAGTGTCTCGTACCTGGACCTGCTCCCTGGTCTGCCTGGCTCCACTGTGGCCAGCCCTTCCCATCACCTCAGGGGGTTCTCCACGGCAGCCCAGGGGAGCTTTTGAACACACCGGTCACCCTTCTTCCTGTCCCTCCAATGTCTTCCTGCTGAACTTCCCACTGAAATCTAGGCTCCCTGACATGGCCACACAGCTGCATGGGATCCTTCCCACCTCAATGGCTTTCTTTCTCTTTCTTGGCTGCAGCTCCAGTGCCCTCCTGGGGCTCATGCCCAACACCTTTCCTTCCCGAAATGTCAGTCCCCTAAATCCTTTGTCCTTCAGATCTCAGCTGAAATGCCACCTTGTTGGATCTAAAACAAACCATGCATCACACAGTGTCTCTCTCCCATAACTCTGTTTTATTATCTCCACTTGCATTTGTTTACGTTTGGTCTGTTTCCTTCACAAGTTCCAAGAGAGAAAGACCCTTGTCTCTCTTGTTCCTCATAGCCTAGGTTCCCCCGCCATGGCGGGCACAGGCATTTGTGGGTTGTGAATGAATGCATGAACGGTAGTTTTCAAGGAACATGTGCGTGGTATGAAAAAGCAATTATAGAGGAGAGGCAGGCATGGCCTGGGATGGCAGTGGTGGTGGAGGTAGCCTTGTTTCTAACCGGGTTCTGCCACTCGCTAGCCGGGGTCTTTGGGAAAACACCGTCGCGTCCCTGAGCCTCAATTTCTTCAGCTGAAACTTGAGTCCAGCAGCCCCTAGCTCACTGGACGGGAGTGTATATCATAGGAAGGATTCAGCACCTCTGGCCAGCCAGGAGGCAGTCCCCCAGTGAGGCCAAGCTGTAACACCTGCTATGCTCACCAGGTGTCGCCCCGTGGTGCGCTCTGAGCCCTGCGCTCTCGGGTGGCTCCGCGGCCCGACATTTAGATTCGGTGCGGGGCATCAGGGCCTCAACCTGACTGTCCACTAGGAGCGGGGTTCCAGAGGAGGCTGCCCAATCTGGGCACCCACTTGCTATCCCCCATCGAAAAGACAGGGGTGGGGGAAGAATATGCTGAGTCAGTTATCCCGCTCCGCCATTAGCTCTAAGGAAGGGGTGCCCTCCCCCAAGAGGGTCTCGGAAGCCCCGGGGAAGGCGGAACCCGGGTGCGACCTAACACCCCACAGCCAGCTCCAAGCTCTCGGCCAGGCGAGGAGGACGGGGAGACAGGCCAGAGCCAAGGCTTCCCACCCAAGCCCTGATTCCCTCCTCCGCCCCGAGTGCAGTCCCTGAGCGTCCATTCGTCCCGCAACTTGCGAATTAGCCACCTCTGGGGATCGAGCAGCCTCCCACCTCTCCCCACCCGGCTCCGCGTCCCAGAGCCGAGAGAGGGCGCCTCGCGAGCGCGAG